CGATCACTGTAACTCGTCATCCTCGAAAAGCTAAAAGAAGTGGACATGGAAATGGAGAAAATTGCATAAACAAAGAACTTTACGCCACGCTACGGAATTGTTTTTTGAGGAGAACTATCGTTCTGGCTCCGGTTGTTCGAAGGATATATAATGCTATTCGCTAGATAAAACCTCTATCCGGTGGATAGCGCAGTCCATTTTGTTAACGCTTATCCGCTGGATAGCGATTTATCCGTTGGATAGTGTTATCCGCTCTTTGAACAACTGGGCCCTGCTGGAAAGCTTTATTCGAAGTAAAATACAATGGAAAGTTGCGGGTAATGAGCAACTGGTTAAGTTTTTCTAATACTCTTCTATGCTTAAAACCTGGAAACCTTTTTTTTTTTTTTATACCGCGAACACAAACATTTATCCCTTCTGAGCCGAATTTGCTTCTGGCATAATATCCCGAGACACATACCTGAAACTCAGAGAGAGAATTCAAAGGAACTTGACCGTAAAGCCAGTTCTTGCCGGTGTTGCTTCCTGAAATCCAGATTGGAATTTTACGGTAGGTTTTTGTCTTCTGGTAAATTGTAAGTGTCTTCTTCCCAGGTCCCCGGAACATGTAACGAAACTTTAGGCACTCACTAGGCCAGTCATGTGATCTATTGTATAGCGGCCTCATGAGAACAGCCAACTGGGTAAAGTGGCTGACGTTGGTGTCCACGACAAGTCGGCCACCTGGATCAGAAATAAAATTGAACGCATTTTATTTACAGAAGATCATCGTAAACTCTATCGATAAATGACCAAGAAACAAAGAACATTTAGCAACATGTTGAGCAAACCAACAAAACATCAAATTTCAAGAGCCATCATAGGAGAAAGTTAATTAAATTGCGACATTGATGCAGCGGTTCCTGGCTCAGAGTCGAGCATGGTTCCAGGTTTCTTCCCTTCACTAATTTCTCTCAGTCAGCTGTAGAACTAAAGCCTTTCCCGACATGGATTAATAACAAAAGTTTTTTTGGATTATGGTGTAACCGGGTAAACGAGAGTTGGATTTGCAAGGTGATAAATTACAACTTTTTCGCTCGTTTCTTCTTGTGGTTTCGCAGCTCAGTTTCAAAACTCCTTAAACAGCCAAAAGGATCTTTTCATACTCAAAGTTTAGAGCAATAAATTAAGGACCGATTGCAATCAAATTCTCTTCACTGGGAACTTGCCTCCTCTATCACTGCAGGTTGGAAACAGTTTTACTTCCACTTCTTTCTGCAACCCTTTTCTGACTGTTTTCCAAGCCTTCACGTCACCATCTTCGCTGTCACATCCAAATGACATGCGCAGTATCTCCTCGACTGGCATTGGGTGACCCCACAGATTGAAACCACTCAGTACACCCAAAGCAATTGACGCATTGTCGTTGTGATTTCTGAAACCAATGGTCATGGTTCCTTCCACTGTGTGCAACAGGTTAAGAAATTATAGCAATTTTGTTACAACACTTAAATTTTCTGAAAAAAATTATTTCATCATCCGGAAGTTCGATAACTCACGAATTTAACCCTCAGCTTAATTTGTCATCGCAGAAGTTAATTGTACCTCGGCGATCTCGTTTAAAATCAGCCATCAATTACGATAAATTGAAGATGGTATAGTTAGAAAGTAACAGTGGAAAAATGCAAAGCAAAATCAAACAGGCGCTAAGAAAAATAACACTTTCGCTGAAGCCACTCGGCAAATGTCAATAATTTCTCTACAAAAGGTACCTTCGATCGGCGTAAAATGGGATTCAAATGAACTGTATCTTCTCTCGCCGTCTTTGAATACCTGCATGAGCCTCTTACGATTATTCCACAATACACACACGTGGTGCCACATGTCATCTGCTACGCCCATCGGTATTTCGCTATGAATAAAATTTAATGATAATCAGGCATTCAATTTCATCTATTCATCCATCCATTCATGCATATGGTAGCATGGGCCACTCACTAAGTTACAGTAGTAAGTGCATTCCAGGATGTATTATCATTAGAAATTGTTAATTCTCCTTTAGGCCCTCTTACACAAACTGGTTCTCGAAAAATTAGGAATCTTAAGCAGTCTCAGCTATGGTGCCGACGGAAAGAGAAGCTAAGAAATGAATTCAGTTGAATTTGAACAAATGGTAGCAATGACTGCATTTAAGAATAGAATAGAAACTTGAATTATTTGCTTTCGGTGTTCCACTTTTCTGACTCCTGAAGAATTGGCGGTATCCCGTTGTTGTTCTGTAGAGGACGGCCACGAAATGAAAACCACCCGCAGAGCTATATTTCGGCTCATCAAACTATTAGTTTGGTCGTGTCTCGTCCTCGTTGACCTTGCTTATGCAGTTTGCTTAAATTCTCTTTTATGCACCTTCCAAGGGAACAATGAATGAATTCTTATA